AAAGTTTGCCGGTAACATATACTTGCTTTGCCAAACCATGGTTTCATGCGATGTCTGAACACAGTCAAAGGATTCAATTTCCACTTCATATAAAGCAGGTCATCTGAAATTGTAAGCTGACCCACTACTCCAAAGAGGGGAAAGCATGCTCTTTCGAAGTTTGCCGGTAACATATACTTGCTTTGCCAAACCATGGTTTCATGTGATGTCTGAACACAGTCAAAGGATTCAATTTCCACTTCATATAAAGCAGGTCATCTGAAATTGTAACATACTTAGATTGTTCCATTTTCTTTCCTATTTTTAATCACTCCCCAAATATAACTTATACAGTTCAAAGTATCTTTATGGAAATGCAAGAAACTATGAATCTTCAAACTGTGGGCCTAAGGTGGGGAGGGTAAAAAAAAGTCAAGATGGTAGTTGCAACTGTGTGATAAAAGCCCAGGAAGATCAAGCATGGCCAGGGCTTCAGTTGCATAGTCTAGCCAATTTGTTGATTTTTTTGGCACTTCCATGCCCCTCCCCTAATCTCCAATTGCAACAGCCAATGGCATCTGGCTCTGTTTGAGCTGTGTCTTGCTTCTTCTTTTGAAGAGGAGATGCCAAGTGTAGCAGAAACTGGCCATAGCTGGGCTTCCTGCTTTCTTTCTAGAAAGTGACTGGCACAGTTCTCCTTCCTTAGCATGGCAGCAGGAGGATCTTTTGGCCCGATGGCTTTCCTCCCTTAGCCTAAAGCAGCAGGAGGTATCTCTGAAGACATTCCTGCTGCAGATCCTGTAAGAGTGGCAATCAAGCAGAATCATTCCTGTTGGGGAATGGCAAGTGCAGCTTTGAAGATAGGCATTCACTGCACCTTGCTTCTCTCTGCATGGAGAATGCAGAAGATGGTAGGGGGAGGGACGTATACTCAGGTGATAAAGCTTTCCTTCTTCACACCCTGCCTCTCATCCTTCATCCAGCCCTTTGGATGGAAGAGGAATGGATCTGTCCTGTTTTCCCCAAATCGGGTTAATGGCTCTGGCTGTTAAGAGTCAGATAGAAACATACATTTGAAAATTTCAGGATCTGTTTTTCTGGGGTCATGTTAATTAACAAAGAGCTTTTTCCCCTTATCCCTTTTTGTTGAAAATAATTTGTTTCCTTCCTGTATTTGTCTGCTTTTTGCAAAGATATAACTTAAAAAAAAAAAAAGTATTAGCACATGCAGTTCTACAAAGTCAAAATCAGTTTGCTCAGGAGGTAGACATCAAGCAATTGAAACCAGGCCAGAGATAATTTCTGAGAAGAAGAAAGGAGGGAGCTGACCTGATTTTTTTTTACCAGGGGATAAACAGAGGGAGGAATGTATGCGATGCTTTACATGCATGTTAATTACTTAATGGCACTTCCTTCAAAATGCGAGGCGCTGGGGAAAAGTATTAGAATTATGGAGTGCTTTGATATCACTGGGGGAATCTAGTCATATCAGCGAAAGTACATAAAAAATCTCATCAGTTTTCCCAGCAGAAACCAAGTACGTAGAGCCACATGCAAATGCAGAAGATAGATAATAATTCCTTCTTCTTCTGCCTCTAGCTGATTCTTATAATTAATAATAGCATTTATGTATATGTATCTGGTGTTGTAGTTGTGGATGAACAGAATGCGCATAGTGAAGATCAAATAAACCAAACCACAATGGAATATAGTAAGGAATTAGATGAGTCCAAGGAAGAAAAAGATGAAGACACAAAAGAATATGAATCTCATCCACGTAAGTAACCATAAAATGACATTTGCCTGAGAATTCCAAATGTGGATTAAGTGTTTACTATATAACCTCATTGGTGCACTTTTATTAAAAGCAAGTATAAAATGCAGCAAAAAACTCATTGGATCACCCCTATTCTACATCATATACAGTACTGTTTCCTTTTAGAAATGACAGCTTTTAATGTCATTTGAATCCTTTCTCCTGCATGCAGACGTCTGCTTTAAGTTGGGTTCAGCCAAAGCGGTTATGTGCAGTTTCTGTTTTGTTTTTCAACTACTGTACAAGTTTCTGTTTTCATAACTGACTGCATCTTTATTTGAGCTTACAAAGCAAATGGCTGGGGCGACTCTACAGCCCCTTTTGAGAAAGAAAAACAATCCCCAGCCAAACCACTCTGTATAACTCTGTGCAAAGCATTCGTGCAGCATCCCGAAGCTGAGTTGATTTATTTGACGGGGCTGGTAGCTTGCTCCAATTGGGAGGGAGCACATAAGCACAAGCAAAGCATCTCTCCTCCGAGTGCTTAAAGCAGCTGCATCTTTTTCAAACGTTGCGTGGCTGTTCCAAAGGCTGTTCCCTGAGGGTTGAACGCTTAGGCAACACTTTCCCTGAAACCACAAGCAAAATGATTAGGCTGGGCCTACATGTGGGACTTAACTCCTCCTGTCTATCCACCCTCTGCATATGTTTAACATCAACAGCCAACTTGACCTTTTTGGTGGTGCAGTGGACCACTGAAGGAGTTGATGTCTGTAGGGAGTGTCTGTAGGGGTTGTCTGTGAGGGGATGGTAAAGGAAACTCAAGATGGTGCCCATGACCACAAAGCCCCATGCCTTTCTACATGCTTCTTTTGACATATAGAATCTGCGGATACACCTGGTCTCATTCCCTGCCCCCCCCCCAATGTTACCGTTTAAGAAGGGCTCAGAACATTTCTTCTTTCATAGCCCTTTAGGGGTTTTTTAGAGGTCTGTTTCTGGCAGAGATGTCCGCAGGATGTGGTCAAAAAGTCAAGAAGGGAGCTGTGACAGTGCAATTGAAGCATGTTTTTTACATGCATCATCACTTGCAGCTCCTATCTTGAGGAGCTTTTTCAACCATACCCTATGAACATCCCTGGTCTGGGTTCAAATAGTTTATGGGATTTGGATTTTATTGTATATGGATCTTTGAAAGGTGCCTAGACTCACAACACAGGACTGGGCAATGTGCAAATTTATGTATGTATGTATGTGTAAATAAATAAATAAATAAATTTTGGCTAGCATTTGACTACATTAAGATAGGACACAATGGTAAACAGAGATGTAAGCATCCAAGAATCCGTGTGTTTCCTCTTCAGTCTCGAAAAGGGGAACATATTGGAACATTTTATAAGAGAAACTAAAAATAAGCAAACGATGCACTCCAGTTGGATCTAGTATAGTTTTATTTGTTTTCAGATACCATATTCTCAGTTGATATCTGAATTATTTTTAGCTTTATGAAATGCAACTCACTGTCTCTTGGCTTAAAAAAAAGAATCATCCCAGAAAGAAGATCTAGAAAGAGTGGGTTTCCATCAACCTGCTCGCTGGATTCATTTCATGCAGGGAGTCTGGCAGCCTGACACCATCCATTGTACTACAAAGGAGAGGCTTGTTCCTCCTGTCCTCCAGAACAGGAAAATGTCCCTCCCCGCTTTGCTCCAAATGGAGCTTTCCCTTTGGAATAGATTCACAGCAGATACTCCATGCCTTTCCCAAATGAGGAATGTGTGAGATAGCAAGGCATTCCACAAAGGCCCACGCCATGTCTTCCTTGATTAATCAAGGGGCAGAGAGGCTCCTGCAACATTTTGCTCCCCATCTAGGAATACGTGTGCTAGATGAATCAATAGAGAAGCTACACCAGTCCTTCTCTGATTGGGGAAAGTGGAAAGCAACTTCAACTCCTGGGGGAGGGGGAAGACAAGTGTGGGCATAAGAATGCAAGAAGATTAATGCTGGATCAAGAAAGGCCTCACCTGCTCTGCCATTTTGTTTCACTGATGACCAGTGATACACTTCAGAAGCACCCAAACATGGACAAGGATGATGGCCCACTTCTGCCAACTTAGAAAGGAGTATAGATCTGTGAAGATTAATGACCTGGCATATTTGAATTCTCCATGGATTTATGTGGTCCCCCTTGAAAACCATCAAAATTGATCAACATCCCCATATATGATGTCAGGGAATTCCTCAAGAGATGAGTGGCAGTGGTGGAAGAGAAGTACCTGAAGTAGGCCCATGGCTCCTCCTGCCCCTTTGCTAAAATCTATCCTGGTTTATATGGTTTGGTCCTAGCGTGATGATCATTGGTTTGGGTTTTGTAAATGATGGCTTAGCTTGTTGCATGACCACCAGTCAAGCTTAGAGCCAGGCCAGTGGGATACATTGCTCTGTAGGAGTACCAGCCTGCACTCTGGAGGTTTGATGGAGAAATCAAGAGTGAGACTTGGATTGCGATTCTCAGGAGTCCTAGTGAAGATGAAGATTCGCTTCTGCAATCTAATAATATCTTATCTAGGGCACCAGAATATTTCTCCCACCCTTTCATTGTAATGGATCTCTGGCAGTCCTTTCCCAGGTTTAGCTGTTCATGGCACCTCTACTGTGTTTGTACAGTGGACTTGTGGCTCCCAGAGATCTTGCTTCTTGCTTTGCCAACTGAGCCTCACAGCACCATGGCTTTGTGTGAAACAGTGAAGAACCAAAGAAAAAGAACAAAGAATTCCAAGAGAATACGATGCATTCTTTGATGAAACACTGTGTATTGTGTATCTGAATAGCAAGGGACAGGATACAATTGGTTAATTTGCTGCTTTTGAAATCTCTCTCTCTCTCTCTCTCTCTTCAAAAGAGGCAAATTATCGAATACACACCCACACACACACTTTGTTTGCTTAAAATATTATATATATCTATAAATTAAAAATGCTGAAAAGATCATTAAAAAATACACACCCACACACACACTTTGTTTGCTTAAAATATTATATATATCTATAAATTAAAAATGCTGAAAAGATCATTAAAAAAATAAGGCATCTGGCAAGTAGTCATGGCAGGTTTTTTTTTTGTAAAGTCATGTGTGATTTTGTCATATTCTTTTCTTTTTAATTTCCCCCCCCCCTCTTTTTAACTAGGTAAACCACCCAGAGTCATTTGGGAACTGGGCAGTTTTCCAAATCCAATAAATAAAGAAATCCAATAAAATAAACAAATAATCCCCTTATATTAGAGTTAATGAAATAATTGTTCAGTGTTTGCTTTGATGTCGATGATTATTGATATAATGCAGTGTTGTCCAAACGTGGCCACTTTAAGATGAGTGGACTTCAACTCCCAGAATTCCCCAGCCAGCCAAGTCCACTCATCTTAAAGTGGCCAAGTTTGGACAACGTTAATATAATGCAATCCATACTTCCAAGATGCATGCAGGTTTGTTTGTTTTTTTAAATTGAGCATTAACATGTTGAAATGGTTTAAAATCTCTTTTACTCCCTATGAAGGAAAAAGCCCCTCTGAATTCCTAAAATGAAATACAGAGAAAAGGTCCCAGCAGGCAAAGCATTATCCTAGTGGTTGCTATGGCTCATTTATATAATTTTTACATGTAAAACAAAAGTATATATTTTCCCTCTCTGACCAGTTAAAACTGCCCCTAAATCTCCAGAAGGACAGAGAAGTCGCATTCCTTCACATGCCAGTTCTTTTTCAGCCCCAGCCGGTGTTGCCAGCAAGGAGAACCTTCCAGTCCTGAACACGAGAATAATATGCCCAGGTAATGAGGATTTCATTTTTTGGCCGGGGTGGGGGAATTGGAACCAGGCCAGATTCAGCCCCTCTATCATTCGTGGTCTGGATGGAGTTAGAGGATAGGGACAAACAGAGAAGTCCTGCCTTGGTATCAATCATGAGAAGACCATTATTTCTTGAGTCCTCCTGCAAGGAGAAAGTTCTTTCTGGATGTAAGAGGGGCTCTAGTTTTCAATTTCCCTGAGTCTAGAGAAGAGCTTCTGGTACACATCTTCCCTTACTAGAAGAGAGGCACATGAGATGACCTAGCAGACTCATAAAACCATGCATTTACCATTCAAGGAATGGACAGGAAGCACTTATACTTGTTAATCCAATTACTTCTTCCCCAGGAAATTTACATGCTGGACAAACTAGCAGGAAGTGTAGGATGGGACCAGTCTTGCTGAAAGCCTCATGAGTCGGAAGGTTCCCTTTGCAGACTCAAGTCAACCTGTTTTTGAGGAAGTTCTCATGATGAATTGTTCTGATTGCTACCTTCTTCTGGAGCAAGAAGAAAGAACAGAGATCCAGTAACAGACATGATCACTGTAGAAAGCAGAGTGTTCAGTAGAAAAAGAAGCTGATTTTCTTCTCACCAGTCCTGAAAGTCTTGTTCCCTACTGTTTCCAACAAATAGAAGGGAGATTTTGGAAACCTAGAAAAAGAAACATTTTCATCTCTAATATTTTCTCATTGAAAATGTTGACCGAAATGCTTCAGGAGGCAAGGTTTTACCTGCTCTTTCACGTGAAATGATTCCTAAGTGACCTAAATATGCACAACAGATCATTACAGCATGCATTTTTTCCCTTTTCCAATCAGGTCTAAGGGCGGGCCTTGCTGCCTCTATTGCAGGAAGTTCTATTATCAGCAAAATGCTACTAGCAAATATTGACCCCTACGGCGCCACCCCTTTTATTGATCCTGATCCAGAATCACTGTAAGAAAAAAGTTTAATTCTTGTTTTCTCATTTAGTGGGCACTCTTGTTTTACATTATTAATATTCAGCACTGTATGTCATATGTTACATGAAAGAACATATAAATGGCTGAGGCCTAAACCGTTTTCATTTCCAACTAAAGGTAGTAGGGTTGTCTGCTCTCTGGTGTGTTGTTCCTACTCAGAGGAGAAAGGCAGAACTTTTGATTAGTGTAGGGGAAAAAGGTATATTAATTTTTTTGTTTTAAGCAAAAGGGCTACTGTTACATCAGCAAAGTGCATATGGCTCCTAGAGTCCTCCACTCTTACACAGTTTTAACAACAATAAGAAACGGAATTGGCAAGGTTTGGTGAGAGATGTCCTCCTGTTGTGGAATTTTCATGGAATAGCTTCTTTGCCTCCTCACTTTTTACGAAACAGTGAAAGAGTGAGACCTTGAGTAGCCCAAAGATAAGCACAGCATCAGTTTTGTGACTAGTGTAGGTAGACATGCCTAGAGCTCATTCACTACCTCTATGGGATTAGGGGTAGCCAGAACTTTCATAGGGTTCAAGGATTAGAGTAAGAGATGTTGTGATGTACATAGTGTGCTTTTGAAGGCAAGGAAGAGCCTGCTATTCAAAAGTTTCCTTGAAGGCCTTCTCCATTTATGTAACACATAGTAAAGAAGTGTCAGTCTTTATTGAGGAAATGGATGGTCTAGTGTTGATATGTTTCTCTATATAGCGAGCATGCTGCTGCTTAGAGCTTTCAAAATAGTGCACTGGGTAACTAACTATGTCTTATAGAGGTCATTGGAGGAGGAGAAGGAGGAGAAGTACAACAGTGGTGTCACTGTGTCACTGCCAGATCTTGCTTGAAAAGATTAAAAATACAGAAGGAACAGGCTTAGAACAACATACATCATATACTGTAGGTAGTATAATATCAGGGCTTTCTGTATTCCATGTAAGTAGAAAAGGCCATAACATCTGAGTATAGAATTCATACCCTGAGAAATTATTCATTTCTAAAATTTCAGGATTTGAACAACTGTGATGGTTATGGTCGTCTTTCAGATGTGTGGCCAGTAACTAGGGCATCTAGGACAGAAGGACAGGAGATAATGGAGTAAGATTCTCCGTAGTAGGTAATGAGTTTTAAATGTCCTTTATCATGATTATCATGTTAGGACTGCAATACTCCAGTTGATCACTAGATGCCAGCAAAGTTACAAGGAAACACTCATACTGTGCTGCCATCTGGTGGCTATCCAGTGGCTTGCATTTCAGTTGTATAAGCCCTACTTTCATAAATATAGTAGCCCCACCTTTGTAGCTTTGCTGGTGAGCGGCCATATAAATTAAAGAGATAAATCAAAATAAATTGTCCCTCGCACCAATTAGCAAAAACAAAAACAAGCAAAAAAAAAGATTATGTAAATAAAGTTGGGAGATAGAATTTGATTTATCTTGTTTCTGTTAAACACAGAAAACATGTACTTCTGGCCATTAGTCCTTCTTATATTAAAGCTGAGGCATGCGTTGGAGGCAATTAATATATTCATCTAATCATATATTAGCTTAATGATACAGGATATGAAGGAGAATTCTGCTAGACAGACAGTGTTTTTATGAACTACTTTGTTCCTGGAAGTGGGCAAAAGAACCAGAAAATTATCATTACTTACAGTTTCTCATTTTATCTGAACTGGGAGAAAAATATAAATAATGTCAGTTTCCTATCCTGGTGTGTTTGACCATCACTCAATAATAGCCATTATTCTGGCTATTATTAATAGCCATTATGAATAACCATTGTTTTGGCTATTAACCATAATTTCTGGTTTAGATGAAATAGTGTAAGTCATTGACGAATTCCTAGTATGCTGTCTCAGACAGATGAAGGAATGAAAGGGTTCACTGCAGAAGATTTGTTTATATCACAGCTTAATTTAGCAAGATACAGCGCTCTGAATCTTTCCTGCAGCTTGTATCCAGTGTCAGCTTTCTGCTAACGGGATGTGCTTACCATTGTATATGGTGATGGCATGTGAAAGTTTTGTTATCCTCAACATCTGGTACAGTCCTCTGCACTATATCTCAGTCATGTGGAGTAGCTTTCTGAATTGAGAATAGTGTGAAGTGGCGTTAGCAACAGATGGTAGGATCCACATGCATTGGCCATCCTGCCTTGTGGGACCAAGCCTGTTTTCCATGAATGCAAAGCTGTGACAACCATGGTACTGTATGCAATCCTGTAACCTTTCCCCTACTTCCAATAGTAAGTAATTAGTAGGACTATGAAGCAGTCTGGATTCAAAGGGGAAGAGGTAATTTGGATCGTGTCAGGGCGTGCATGTCGTACCTATCAACAACTTCCTAGAAAAGCAACATCTCCTGGGTTCTCCTGCGTTCTTGATTTAAGAAGATGCTGATAGGTGCCATGTGAGTGCCTCTGTGTGATGCAAACCACGTTTTCCCCCTTGGAATCGGGATCGCTATGCAACTCTAATATCCAATACTTGCTTAGCCCGTTACGGTTACCCTTGCAGGATAGGATAACAATGGCAGCAGGGGGTGCTCTTAGAAGGAAGCTAGAAATGTGTTGTTGTTTGTATACCTGTGCATGCTTCCTCTCTGTGCTATTATCAACAGTAGTTGTGCATTTGTGTACAGGGAAGGCTATTCAGAGAAGTGCGTCATGAACAATTATTTTGGGATTGGATTAGACGCAAAGATTTCATTAGAGTTTAACAATAAACGAGAAGAGCACCCTGAAAAATGCAGGTGAGTTACTGTCAAGATTTGAAGTCGTCCTTGCCTATGTATTTGTACAAAATATTCCTGTGTTTTTTCCTTTAACATCTAAGCAAGGGTTGGTGCCTTACTGAATGAGCTTGATCAGTTAATTCCATGCCTTTGTATGATCACTTTCAGAAGCAGGACAAAGAACATGATGTGGTACGGAGTGCTTGGCACTAAAGAATTGTTACAACGGACTTACAAAAACTTAGAACAGAAAGTTCAGCTTGAGGTAATACTTGAACTCCCTGCCACTCAGTTGTCTAGTTTCCCCTGAGGCAAGATGAATCTCTGCCTTTTGATACTTTGTGATATTGCGGTTCAATTTCTGATCTAAAGGTTGACTTCACCTATTGGCAATTGCCCTCTGTGATGTGAGGATACCTCAGAATGTACTAAAGTAGACCAAAGTCTAGCCGAGTATTAAACCACAATTATTTATTTATTTATTTATTTATTTATGTATGTATGTATGTATGTATGTATGTATGTATGTATGTATTTGTGCCATTTATCTACCATCTTGACCCACATGGACTCTAAGTGGTTTTATGAAAAATGTGTACATATAAAACAGGCAGAAATATTCTTGGTTGTTTCTGAACGAGATATATGGTCACCTTTAAAGACTGTCACCTGCGAGTTCTCTTGGATCTTTGAGTCTTTCAATAGTATTGATCTCTTCCAGTTGATCTCTCTGTGTTATCATGTGGGTCTTGTCTCTCAGTCCTGTCAAAAGGGAATAATTGAGGGATTACTGGAGGCTAGTGTGCTTTGTCTTGCTCCCCAAATGACTCAGAAGTGGAAAGCTTTTGCTCCCAAAGAGCTCAACCTTTCAAACCTTGCACTTTGGGATTAATTGCTACAACACTGCAGAGATATGGTTCTCTGCACAGTATCTTCAGGGTCAGAGGCCTGTGCTGTGTCTTCAGAAGACATGGAAGGAATTGATTTTATCCCGCAATCCCTGGTCAGGCCTGAGACTTTGGTCAAGAAGCCCTACTCCAGTTCCTTGGATCCATCATCCAACAATCTCTTTTCTAAATTCTATCATATCTGCGGTTTGGGGACCATTTTCAAAGACAGTCTCATGTCAAGCATATTACAGTACTGAGTGTTACAAAGTGTCCACCCTTCTCTACACAATTATTTTCCTTATATAAATTGATTTATGGTAAGGATATAATTCAGAACCAGATTTGGAACCAGAAGTTGGCTAAAGGTCTTGCTGTAGTCTCTGGCTTACCTCATTAGAAGGCTAGAAGGTCTTTCTTATATTGGAGAAGTGTTTGTCCTTTTATTCTGTGGGTATTGTGTATAATGGAAGACAGTTATCTGAAGAGACTTCATCCATAATGTTCATATATGAAACATGCAGAGAACATCCTGGCTAAGCAAGGGAAGCTAGATAAACCAGCCTTCAAGTCCAAGCTATACCTGTGATTAATGGAAACTGGAGTGTATTTCTGTGGTTGTTTATATAGTATTTTGTACATTGCAGTGTGATGGACAATATATCCCTCTTCCAAGTCTTCAAGGCATAGCTGTTTTGAATATCCCAAGCTATGCTGGTGGGACTAATTTCTGGGGTGGAACTAAGGAGGATGACGTAAGTAATGTGGTCTTGCTCTTCAAGTTATTAGCTTCCAAAATCCTATGAGCCAGGTGTTGATTATCAAAATGCAGTTTCCCTAATTATAGAAAATACTTTTTGTTAAGCATTTTTAAATACTCTATATCCATTTCTTAAAGCGTAGTTTTCCAACACTTTTTGAAGTCAATTTGGTACCAACCACATTTTCATCTGGCATCAAGGAACATCAATGGTATTTCCAAAATGTGCTCTTGAAAACAACATTATTGATAAAGGAAGTTACTGGTTGGCTAATCATCCCTATTACTTAGAGGTTTTGCTGCTAATTCCCAAGTTGGTTCTTTATAAGAGTGCACTCATCCAACCAGATCCCTAACCAAATTTATTAAGGTGGTCTCTGGGATGGTATTGGAGAGCTTCAGAACTGTGGTCTTGGAGGACCATCATCCATGCTGATGTCATCTTAATAGGCTGGATCAAAATATTATGGTTTTTGTTGGAAGTTATGGAACTATCTCAAGTTAACCACCCATGGAATCACCTATCCTTGACTTGGGTTTTGTTTCAGGCTGTAAAGGGGATGGTTTGGCCATGGGGAGAGAAGCTGTTCTCATTTTCCTGATTTAAATAGCTTTGATAAGTGGTACATGCATCTTTGGCATTTTGAATAGCCCGAACGCTCTCATATATTGATGAAGCATTCCGGTTCCAACACTGTTAACAGTAACCATTTCAAATCCTTCGGTAGTGACCTTTAATATTACAGTTCTGTTCCAAATGTCTACCTTCACTGATATTTAAGAAACGCTGATTTATATCCTGGAGCCAAAGATCTAATCCCTAAATGACATCAGTACTGGAATGCAAATATTTAAATGTCACAAAGTGAGTCACGGAGCATAAAACATTTCTCTTTCCCCACCAGATATTTGGGGCACCATCGTTTGATGATAAAATCTTGGAGGTGGTTGCAGTATTTGGCAGTATGCAGATGGCTGTTTCCCGGGTTATCAAGCTCCAACACCATAGAATAGCCCAGGTTTGTGTGTTGCCCAGGAATAAGGAAATGCGTTGGTCTACTGTTTCAGCCAGCTGCAAATGAATCAAGTGTAGGTTTTGGGTATTCACTTGAAGTGGGCCGCAAATCCCCATAAATGCCAAAATGCAGCAGCCTTTTGCCCTTGAGACAGATCTGGACAGGAGCCACAGCTCTTCATCGAAGTGGCTTGAACATATTCCACTGTGCTGAAACCTGTTTACTCTTTTTCAGTGCCGGACGGTAAAGATCACCATACTTGGAGATGAAGGAGTACCCGTTCAAGTAGATGGCGAAGCTTGGATTCAGCCCCCAGGCATCATTAAAATCGTGCATAAAAACAGAGCACAGATGCTAACGCGAGACAGAGTGCGTTATGGGAGGGATCTGTTTCCTAATACATGGTGTTAATAATAATAATAATAATAATAATAATAATAATAATAATAATAATAATGATAGTAGTAGTTGTTTTATCATTATTTCATGGATTTGTTTTGCCCACTGTCCATAAATACAAGAACACAGGCACAAAAATGCAAACATAAATGCAAAAACAAAAAAAAGTGAGAAAGTTTCATAAAAAAAAAAATAGTGATAACAACAACTACAATTTTAAAAACATCTGCCTATCCCAGGTCCTTGGGAAGGGCTCAACAGGTGGATAAAAATGCCAAATCCAGTCTAAACGTCTGGCTGACTGTGTGACCAACTATCATCATCATACTAATTCTGTAAGAATAATTTCCCGGATCCACTGTCTCTTAAGTACAAGAACGCAGGCACAAAAATGTAAATATGAAAAAGAAAAAGTGAGAAATTTCAGTTTCATTAAAAAAAAAGTAACATGCAAGAATGTTACGGAAGAGATCTTTTATATAATATATAGCCTTTTCTGTAATAATAGTAATAGCAACAATAGCCACAAATTATAATGTGTTCAGTAGTAAGAACGGTTATTATTTGACTGCTGTTGAAAGTACAAAAACACGGGGGATTTCCTCGTGCATCAAACTGGTGAGAAATTTGATTCAGTTTCATTAAGAAAAAAAGTAGCATGCAGGAGTAAGAGATTAACAGAAGCGTGTGTTTCCAATATCGGGCCCTATTAAGTGGAGCACGTATAGTTTGCAGAAACGTTCGTGTCTGTGAGAGGCGTTTTCATTATCCCACGATCCAAGAGTGCTGATTAGTTTTAGTTTCATGGAATAATGAAAATGCCTCTCATATGTATATGTGTTGCTTTGATTCACAAGCACTGAAAACAATAGGGGGGGGGTGTAAAAATACGAAGATGGAGGCTGTGATCGTGCAATGGATTGCATGGTGGCAGATGCCATCTTGACTTTTTTGACACTTTGCTCCTTTCTCATGCACACAAATCTGCCCACACGCCTTTATGCAATGGGGGAGAAAGAGGAAAAAAAACCCCAAATAAAGTGTTTTGTCCCTTTCATCGCAACATGCACGATTAAACTAGGCTATGAATGCATTGCCGTGCCGTGGCTTAAGTGATGCCAGAGAACTTTTTCAATTCTGAGCAGGCCTTTGAGAGCACGTTAAAATCCTGGGAGGATAAACAGAAGTGCGATTCCTGCAAACCAGCCCTACGGTCGCCTTTGTACCCGCATCAGGCGGTGGAACTGGCTTCTGAAGAAGAGGCAGTGCAGATCCAGTCGTGTTCTCAGGCGGCGGAAGAGCTGATTACAAGGTAGGGAAACGAGTAAAAGCAGCTGAACGTTTCAGTATTATCACACGCCTTGAAATGAGGCACGTAGGCTTGGCTACCTTTCAAGGCTGCTGATCTCAGCGTTATACTGATTTATTGGGAAAAATGCTTTAACGCTCCTGAATAGATTACTGCAATGCGCTCTACATGGGGCTGCCCTTGAAGAACGTTTGGACGCTTCCCCTGGTGCAAACGTTATGGGTGCTGGTCATTCAGCACACGTGACACCTCTGCTCTGCAAGCTACGTTGGTTGCCCGGGTGCTTCCGGGTGCAATTCAAGGTGCTGGACATCATCTTTCAAGCCCTTCATGGCTTGGGGCCAGATTACTTATGGGACCCTCTCTCCCCAGTGGTGTCTACCTGTCCTGATAGGGCTGGCAGGAGAGGCACGCTCCAGGTCCCGTCTGCGAGAGTGTCATCTCTTGGGACCCAGGAGGAGAGCCGGCCATGCGCCCGCCCTCTAGAACATCATCCCCCCGAGATTAGACTTGCCCGGACCCTCCTGGCCTCCTGCAGGTTATTGAAAATCTGGCTTTGCCATTGAGCCTGGGACCCTGATAGCACTGGGGAGCCCATGTCATGGCTAGTTTGAATGTCAGTGAGTGTTCTTGGCTGCTATTTTTATGTTATTTTTGATGTTTTTAATTCTGGTTGCTTTTGTTTTTATTCTGTCTTCATTGTAAGCCGCCCAGAGTCATGTATATGAGATGGGCGGCCTATAAAGTAAATAAATAAATAAATAAATAACCAACCAACCCTAATTTTCTGGCATTGGTAAACCCCATGCAGCAGCGTTACATGCTTAGTATAATGTTCTAACGTTGGCTAGGTTTGTGGGATCCACTCCTTTTATCAAAATGACAAAGGGAGCGTTGTGCTGTTGTGATACAAGCTTTACCCCATTCATACCTGCATGTGACGATCATGATGCAGGTACAAAAGGGGTAGATCCTGCATGGGGTCAGGGCAACACTGCTCTCATGATTCCCTCCCCCAAGGATGCTGGGGGTCATGTATTACTACTAACTTCTCATTTTTTACAAAAAAATAAATCTGATATAATGATATGTTTGCTTAGCATTCCTGATAAAGTTTCCTTTTGGGGACGAGGTTTGACCAAATGGCCACCGTTTGATCTGTAAGATATTGAAAGTTATTCTCAATTTCTAGGGTCAGAATTAAGATTATAGGGCCTTTTTACAATAGATCCTGAAGAACAGAGGTTACTAATGTAGTAATGAGAACGTAGATTGCAAAGTGATGCTTTTCCAGCTGCTATTATTAGCAGCTTAATATTTGCAAGTATACATACACAAACAGACCCTAAGGAGATGCTGGTGGTTTAACATTTAGCATTGGAGCAAACCCAACAAGGGGAAGACTAAAGAGGAATCGGCAGAGGGAAAAATAAACATTCATCAGAGCATGTGCATATCTAGGCTCTGTTTTGATTTATGAAGTCAATTCATTACAATTAATTTAATTTAGAATGACAAGTTTTAAAAATATGGGGAAAAGCGGAGTGGGTGGGGTGGCCGATACAGAAAACCCAAGCCCTTTGTGGCAACCCTATTTGAGAAATTGTAGCACAAGGAGTGAGATTAAAGCTTGAAGGTTTGCTGTATTATAGAAGAGAAAGTAGATGATACAGTAAGGGAACCTCCGTTTACTTCTCGTGTCTGATATAGTGCTAGGGAGAAGCTCAGGGAAAGGCTAAAGTGGATTGTGATGCATGGAAATAGTTATAAATGTCAAGAGATCAGAGTCGGATACAACATGGAAGAAACACCAGCATTTGAAGAGAAGATTAAACAAACATACAAGAATGGGGGGGGGGGTTTGCATCCTATGGTTCTCTAGGGCAGTGTTTCTCGGCTTCAGCAACTTAAGATGTGTGGACTTCAACTCCCAGAATTCCCCAGCTTCTGGAATTCTGGGAGTTCACGTCCACACATCTTAAAGTGGCTGACGTTGAGAAATGCTGCCCGAGGACCCACAGTGGGGATGCAGGAATCTTATTAGGCACAACTATTTTTGTTTCTTCTATTATTACTGGCAATATTTTTAGGGAGAAATGTATTAACGTGCCAGGCGTTTATAATTCTCTTTCTCTTTTACTCCCTCCCCAATCTGCTATTTTTTTAGAATCTGTGAAGCTGCAAAAACTCACGGCCTTTTGGAACAAGAGCTGGCTCATGCGGTGAATGCCTGTTCTCATGCTTTAACCAAAGCCAGCCCAAAAGTTCCCGAGGTAAGGAAAAGAAAGTCTGGCTCCATACAGTATAGGGAAAGCTTAGAATTAACCCATGCACAATGAAGTTTTTAATGCAATGTTTCTATCCTATTTATCACGTACCCATCAGATCAGACAAGCCTCTGACGTTTGACAGCCTTTTTATTTCTTGAAAAGAATCCAAAAGTCGGGGGTTGGGGAAGTATGGATGCGGGCGTAGCCACTCCCTAGACAGGTCTTTTGCTGAGATCATGTTGAATCTGTGGAGGGTGGCTGTATGCTCCTGGGAAATGATGCAGCTGCTTTAAGGAGTTGTTGAGAGGTGCTATGAACGTTCTTCATATGTGTGATACATTAGAACACGTACAGTGCTTCAGTCCCGTAGCTGCGACCTCCACCTTGACCGTTTTGCCCATCCCGTGGATGCCCCTGCATTTTCTGCCTCTAAGACTTAATTAAGCTGGTTTTTTTAAGGAGTTATACCAATGAGAAAGACAGTAATAATTGGTCTATGATCTTCTTCCATCCTAGTCCATATTTGCATAAGCATTATAGATGACAAAGCATCTGATGCAGAGAATATCTCCAGAAAGTAGCATCAGTTGGTTCACACAGAGCAGTGAAAGTCAATTCTCGGGGGGCGGGGAGGAGGTCTTCCTGACTCCAACTCTAGGGACTAGCCAGACTGTAAATGTGAGCTTTATATGAATCATGGAAATATCTTTATTTTAAATATACTTTTTTACAATGTTTCCATAAGGAATCATGACCACATTTAGGTTCGGTTACGAAAAGCCACTTAGGTTATGCTGAATTCCCCCCCCCCATCATCATTACCAAATATTTGCAATTAAATTTACAGCTTTGTGTTTTTGGGAACTTCTTGGTTCCCCCCCCTCCCCTGCAGAGCCTTGCCAGAAATACTGCGCTGGAAATAGCTGCTACTGTGAAGGCGCTACATGATGAAACAGAATCCTTGCTAGTTGGAAGAGTCTCTTTGGTAAGATGGGGATCACAGCTTTCTTAAAACATGACATTGGCCAGAAACAATCCAGTAAGCATTTGTTTACAGTAGAGTTGGAGATCTATAGTTTGGAGTTGCCTTCACCCTTCCCAGATACAACCCCTGATCTCCTTCCCACCTGCCTTCTTGACTTTCCAATTCGGTCATTGTGGATGCTATCAATCCTGTATCTGCAAGACTCAGAGGCTATGGAATAATCTTTGTGCAAAAGTCAGAAGATCGGACATTCTACCTTCTGAACTGAGGCAGCTGTCTGAGCGCTGTCTTCTAGAAACAGGCTTTCTGGAAACCAGCAGAGTAAGTGAGAAGGGTGTGAGAAAACGGGGAGCTGTTTCTCACTGGACAAGTTACAATTGCTACCCTCCAGCAGTTGTAACTGGGTTGAGATCAGGGTTGGGGGAATGACTTTATGCCCTTAAATAGGATCATGTGCATACAATACAGGCTGGTGCATGTGTGAGCATTATCCATAGCTCTGATGCATCCCAACACAGCACCATTTAGAGATAAACATGTTCCCTTCCCCTCCTATAAATAGAAAAGTTAATATACCTTGCTATGGAGGCTTTAAACATATGCCTGGCTCTGGGTCCTCTGGAGCAGAAAAGCGCTGAAATTTGAAGGAATCTAAACACTTTTGAAGGGCACTTTTCGGTATTGATTTGAATGTCGGCAACAACTATTCTTCGTAAGAGAAGATCCTAGAACAAACCCAAACATGTAATAAATGGTGGACCATCTTTTCTATCCCCATTCAGAACTACTCGATTTCAACATGTATTTCTTCCGTTGTGCGGTCAGTGGCACATTATCAAGACTATCTGCGACAACCTTCCCTTTTCGGCTGCCATAATTCTTTTTATTTTTAAAATGTGAGCCTGTATCCAAGCATAATAATGCAATCCAGGGGAATTCTGTGATGGGATATTCTCCCCCTGGAGCAAAGGAGCAGCAAGAAAGGATGGGCATCTCCAGGCAGGAGGGGGTCAAAAACACACTCTTGACACACTTGTGCAACCAAAGCTCCGGATGTGCGCTTTGTGTGTGGCTCCAATTGCATGAGTGCCCAATCCTTTTCTGTATAGCATGAATGTAGCATCAAACTTTAAAAAGTACTTTGAGCATTGTTTGATCTGTTCTGATTACCAGTTTGAAGCACATCAAGGCTTACTTTAAAAAAAAAAATTCTAATATTGTTAATTTTCACCTGTATCTAAAACATTTTGGTACAGTGACGAAAGTTACAAAATTCCAACGAACACCCCCCGCCCCTTCCCGTGGCACTGATGTTGTAGAAAGAACAATTTATACTTGTTGCTTAACTAAACTGCTCCTTACTCTCCATGTCTGATTTGGGGGGGTGGGCTATGGCGCAACTGGCTTCATTATACAAGGTGGTGATTTGAGACTCTTGTTTTGGAGACATACTGACATTCCCACAATGGAGGAATGGATTGTGAAGATGTCAGAATTGGCAGAAATGGCAACACTGACCTGTCTGGTCAGGGATAAAACAATAAGTACTTTTTAAAAGGCTGGAAACCTTTTATGGGCTTTTGGCTGAAAACAGAGAAAAGTGAAGTGATAATTTATGGATTTGATGATTGAAAAAGAATTAAATATGGGAGTGAAGGGATTTCTGTAATGCTAAGGAGGGAGGTTGGGTAGTGAATTTGTTAATTTCTGTTACAAAGAAGGTCGGAAGTCACTTATTTTTTCTTTAATTAATTCTCTTTTTCTTCTCTTTTTTTTCTTCTTGTTTTACACACATTTTCTTCTTCTTTTTTCTTAATTCTTCTTTTACCCTTTCTGTTACATTAGTCTTTTATTGTTTGAAAAAAATCTTAATAATTTTTTTTGTATGTGTGTATGTATGTGTGTATGTATATGTATGTGTGTGTGTGTGTGTGTGTGTGTGTGTGAGAGAGAGAGAGAGAGAGAGAGAGAGAGA